AAAAAAAAAAAAAAAAAAAAAATGAAAACTGGTATAGGTTTGAAATTTTTTCAATGAATTTTTTCTTCTTTAGGTGAACGTGTTATGCATGTGTTTTTCATATTCTAAACCATACTTTCATTTTCTGCAGTTAAAGCGATTTTTTTTGTTGTTACAAAGAAACGAAGTTAAAATGCCAAAAAATTATTTACTGCATATATCTTTGTATTGGTCGATATATTTGCTGCAGAGCCAATCCGCAACATGGTACAGTTTTTTGGGTACATAGAATACCAATTGATGTTTGATGTTTTGTTTTTTTTTCTAGCCATTATCAACTTATAGGCAGCTAGGCAACCAGCCAGCTTGCCAGCCTGCCATACTTCCCAACAGCAATTGTATTGTGGTTCCTAATCATTAATGGATAAAATATATTTGGAAGATTCTGTCTGCTGATTCATGCTGAAATTCACTGAGAGGAAGAGTGAGGAGGAGGAAGAGGAAGAGGAGGAGAGAAATAATTGAATGGTAAGGAAATTATTAAACGTCATAAACGAAACGTTTATGATAACAAGCTCAGTAATTGGTGGTCTTCATTTTTTTTCCCGTTTACCGTTGTTTCACACGTACCGTTTTATTTTGTATAACACACAAAGAATTGTTTATTGAAAAACCATCTAGAAAAGAACCAATTTTTTCTTCTTTTTGATTGTGCTAACTAACAGACATACGATTCTTTAAGCTGTCGGATGGTTTCGGAAAGCTACAAAAAAATAATTAGCTAATTTTGTCACTGTTTTTTTCTCTTTTTTTTTTTTCTTTTTTTTGGTCATGAAAGAAACAATCAAAAAAAATAGACTGTTAAAAGCGTCAAACAGAAATGCTGACAACGGCAGCAACATCAGCAGAAGCAAAAACAGCAGCAGTAAAAAGAAAAGTAATGGAAACATCAAACATCAATGAGGGAGTGATAATGGTGATATCACAGATCAGAAACTGCTACATTGCATAAGAACAAACTAATTGTTCGTATTACACTTATCGGACTAAAAAAAATATGTGTGTGTTTGTGTGTTTGCGCGTACATTGTCGATTTGCTGTTGTCGTTTTGTTGGTGCTTTTGCCGCTGTTAGTGCTGGTACTATTGATGTTCGTGATACTGATACCGATACTGACGCAGATGCCGATGATTTTGACGCCGTTGTTAATTTTGTTAACCAGGACGATAATGCTTTTGCTGATGCTTCGACAGCTAATGTCATATGAGGCTGATCCTATAATATGGTCATCATTGTTATTATCATCAGTATCATCGTCAGTACTATCATCATTTTTGGCAGTTAGAATGAATTTTGAAGAACAGTAGCTGTGAAGAAATTATAAATACATCAAAAATCAAGGTTTGAAATTGGCGATTTCGATAGTTTGAGGTTTAAAAATGATCACTGATCATTTCAGTAATGGTGGCAACAACAGCGACAACGACGATACCAGTTCTGGATGATAATGGTGGGAGGCGTAAGAGTTGTTTTCCTGTGATTAATTTCCGATATTTACTCGAAATTTTTAACATTTCTAAAGCTGCAAATTTTTGATGTGTTCATTTCAAAGCATCCTTTTAGTTGTTTTTTTTTCTGTTTTTGTTGTTTTATTTCTCATTTACCATTGTATAACGATGCTTATAAATCAAAAAGGTTTCCCCTGTACATAGCTGGGTTTTTTCAAAGGTTTTTAGTTTTAGGTAGTAAAGAAAAAAATTTGCGGAAATATTTATTATGGCCAACGAAAAAAAATAGGTGTTAATATGTGAATACTTTTTCAGCACTACTAGACTTCAGCACTTTCTTTACTCTTCTGTTTTCTTAACCAAGTGATTAAACCCAAATTTTTTTATTTTTGCATTTCCCATTTGATGTGATCAAAATTGGTTTCGTTCATACATTTTCAGCTTCACTAAAGTTCATATGTGAGTTTTTTGGGAGGCGTTGAATTTGATATATTCTATTCTGAATAGAAGGAAGAAAAACTTCATTCAAAACTGAATGGCATTAAATTTGTGTAATTTATTCATCTATTATATGTTTATTGGTATTTTTTTCTTTTTACGTTATTTACGGTCTGATTTTTAGTAAGAAATTTCGTTGCAAATACAGAAAAAGTACTACAAATAGAAGGATTTGGTCAGATGTTTATTAAGAGATCAAAATTAATGAACTATATGTCCAAAATAGCGAAGAAATAGTTCAAGGTAAAAGCCTGAAATTTGCGGTTAGTCATTTACATTATTGTCGTTGTCGTCATCATCATCGTCGCCATCGTTTTTCGTCGTCGACTTTGTTGTCGGACTTGGATATTTTGCTTATTTAGTTGATGCTCGAAAGCCAAACTAATTGGTTGCCCAGCCAACTGCCGTAATTTCCATTTGGCACGCTTTTCAAAGATTTTACTTCCCAGTCATCATTCTTTGGTTTTTTTGGATATTTTTTTATT